TTTGTTTATCAGTTGTGTTGGAAGCATCACTGTAGTCAAGATAACATATACGTACAGCCTTGCTTTTCTTATTCAGGTTAGATATAAGAAAGTGGGACGGATAAGCAAGGGCATCCAGGGTACCACGGGAATGGGTGTATGCAAACTGTTTCGGGTCACCAGCTTGAATTGTGTAGACAGGGTTTTAAAGAGGAGCCTTTCAAATACTCCCAAGGCAACTGAGGTGCAGGCAATGGGACGCAATTTCGAGGATCCTTTCTTCGGTACAGGGGTGATAGAGGCTATTCTCCAGCAGTCGGATATACGTTGCTGCGAAATACAATCATTGAAAAGTTCACTCAGTACATGGGAAAGGAAGGGCTCGCCAGGTCTCACAACTACCTTTGCTGTCAAGCTGAGCACGGGCGTATAAAGAGTTTGGCCTTCTAAGTTCAGCCTGAATGGATTTAGAAAGGGAGTGCACCTCTTTGCGCATATGCATTTCGAAGGCACGCTCCTTTCTACGACCGAGTTGTTTGAGGTGTGGGGAAGAGATTCGACCGGGATGAATATAAATTGTTTCTGAGGCAAAACAGACATCGTAACAAAAGTTTAAGTAGTTTGTTAATTGATCACATTAAACGGAAGGGTTGGGATCAGAAAACCGACTATAGGGAGAGAAAGGAAACACGAACCATAGAGCATACACGTTTTATTCAAGTTAATCGTTCGCATGGAGTGAATAACAGGAACGGGAACAGTGCAAGCCGTCAAACGTTCAATAATCAAGATGTTGGAAAGGTGGAAGAAGTATTCTTTCGAGACGTGTGATGAAGCAAACCTTACTGAATATATATATACTCATATACTCTACTGGTTGGCCGATGAAAATAGATGGAGTATACACCTCACACATACAAAATCGATGTTTTAGCTGAATGCATAAAATACAATACTTCAAATGTAACTTAAAGCTTTGTGGTTAGCTGCTTCTGATTTGATGTAAGAACTTTCTGATCTCTTATATCATTATACGGATTTATTTATTTGATTGTATAGCGAATGCTATATGCGGTTAGCCGAAGAGAAGTGTATTTTCAAGTTAACGAAGAACAACGAGACATAACAACTTTTCACAGGGCATTCAGTGAGAAGGAAATAGTATTTAGGAGCCCAATATGGCCAGAATAGTAGTTGAGCATTTAAGTTGCCCACGGAGGATTATAGTTGTACGAAGAACCAAAAGGTTTAATGCAAAATCTCGGTACTGAATCAATTTTTCTTTTCAAAGTTCTAAAATATGGATAACGCATCCCAGCTGAGTCGTAACTGCAAGCTTCTATTGTCTATTTTTGTGGTAAAAAGCCTGGAAAACGAAAAAAACTGAAAACGTTGCATTTTATCTCTTGCTCTATTCGTACCAATCACGTTACCAAATTTTTTTTATTTCTGTGAAGCCAGTTATCGCAAAGCAGCCAAAAATTTGCGATTTAGATTAAATATGGAACCTAACGCGTCCAAAAGTGTATTTTACTTCGCACCTAATGTGTGACCAGTGATCAACAATTTCTTAGTGCATAGTTCGCAGGCCTGCAAATAATCTCATGATCCGTGAATGAATCTTTGAGACAGATGTGGGTTTTGACCCCGTAGGAATATCCAGCACATATTCGAGCCCGGAAGTCTTGGAAATATACTGCTGCCTCCCCCGTGAGATTTTTCAGCAGTTAACAAGCGTCCAGTCAGAAGGGTACTAAATAGTGTGTGCTTCTGTTGAAATGATCTGATCATGTACAGTAAAAAATGTTATTGGTAAAAAGAGCATGGTTTTCATTGAGTCGAGGCAAGCCAATTGCTACGTCCAGGGATTCGAAGGAAAAATGAACGACCCGTTTTCGCAATAAAATTCTTTCGAGTGTATCAAAACGTCAACTTGGGCAAAAAGCCACACTGAAAAATGCATGAGTTTTCAATTATATCTGGTATGCAGTGTTTCCAACAGTACATTACACAATCGCCAGATTTATGGGCATCTTTTGTTGTAGGACAAACAGGAATGAGTATCAAATATTATCTATTGATTCTACATTTTCTAGCCAAGCAATACAAAACAGGAACAGTTTTCCGATCGTATTTAGCTTCCGGTATTACTAACCCAAAGATTTGTCGATTGCTGGTTACCAGATGAAATTGATGCGTGGAACACCAACTCTTGTAATAAACGTGTAATCACTGTTTTTACGTGTGCTTTATCGAGTTAAGTGTCAATAAGACAGAGTTCCCGGTATTGTTGGTTAATCACTTGGCGGCTCTTAACGAACAATCCCACCCAGGGCCTCAACATTTGTACAGATCGCTTAAATTTCTGCATTTCGATCAGTTACAATTCTCGGATGTGTTTTGGTTTTATCCGTTTGGCTCAATTTGGATACCTCTAGAGAGAAAGGAATTATCATCACTCAACATCCTCTATACTTGATCCAGTCTTCGTTGGTGGCTACTAAATGGGAAGCTTTCAAATGCATACCTCCGTTCGCGATTGTTCTTTGAATACCCTAATAGCTTATATAAAAGTGAGCTGAATTAAATGCGAAATCTCAGATAATTTATAACATAAGTCTTTATGCGAGTAGACAAGAGATGGTGTGCTTGGAAAAGTTTCAAAACATGCAGGTATTCAAAAAGTACATGAACGTCCATCTAGGGACAAAAGAATAATGCTGTCAAAATGTCAAAATGTGGGAGTGATCATGGAGGAGAAAATGAAAAAGTTGAGAATAGCACGGAGAGACGATGTAAACATGTTCGGTATACATAGGCGAAGTAAATCCAAATGAATAACTCGTTGGGCCATCATTGGAACTTATTTTCTATTTGTTCCGCCTACACATCTCGTTCAAGCGTGATAATTAAGTAAAAATTATTAACCGTTGAATAAGCAAAATTATCTGTCTTGTATTTCTTTCAAACCAGATTTTCATTGTGACTTATACAGGTCGTCCCAAAAGTATTATTTTATAACTGAGTAATGAACGTTATCAGAAAGAAATGAAAACTAAAACGAAATCTTGAAATGATGCCCTGACAAATGCCTCTAAGATTGATTCCCTGATACAAATAATTCACAGGATAGTGCTTTTCATTATGAAACTCGGATAACTAGATAGATAAATAAAACTCTATCGACTTTGGTCAGATACCCAATAAACCAAACCACTTCCGGGTGAGTAATCCACATAATTGATATATGAAGTTGCTTTCTGGTTTCATGTCTGCCATTAAAGTATGTTTATTGAATAGATAGAAGCTCACGTAGAAAAACTGTTTTTGCTCTAACTGAACAACTTGATTCATTTTTCAAGACAATTACATTCCCAGTGCACATGAGAAATTTGAAATGATTTCTTTGAACATGTTACCATTTAGCCAAATCTTCATGATTAATTGATTTCGTTCGGGGGCCCCCATGGAATCCACGTTCAGAAACATGAAGTCTGTCTCCAATCAAATATCAGATAATAGTGCACCGTATTACTAAATGAATGGGCTTCATCATATTGAGAGTATGATACTAACGCTGCTTCGTAGTAGTAGGTGGGAGAGGAAGGACTAAAAGGAATGGGAAAGCAAAAAATATCAAAATTCACGTTTTTCACGCTACCTCATTTTTTACTATTGTATCTTCCACTTTTCTTTTTACCCTATGCGTGTTTGATCAAACACCTTCTTGTTTATGTGCCGGCTGTTGAAAATTTTTGGCGATCGTGCGACAGTCGCCCCAGTGTAGCTCTGGCGGACTATGAAATCTCCGATACACGGTTAGTTCCATTCACTCTTTTTTCTGCATCCCTCACCTCATCTCATGATCTGTTCCATTTTAAGTTGTTCGCGATTGGAGTAAACATGTCTTCCATGTAAAACATTGTTTGACGTAAGCATTTAACCGCTGACGTCCGGATCGGCTGACCACCGTTGAGAGGACGTAGTGAACAAATTTTGAAGTGACCGAAAGGTTCTGGATATCTCAAACTGACGTTCCAATTGCACATGCGTTCAGTTTAACGCAAAATCATTGAAACAATGACCGGTAGTGACGATCATTACTTTCATTTTCTAGTTAAGTAAAATCAAATGTCAGATGAAAGATAAATATAAAAATATATATCATATGAAATTTGATGTGATATAAAACTTTCAATGATCCAAAACAATATTTTATAGAAAGAGGCACTCCGAAACAATGAACTCAGTTACAGCTCATGATTACGAGAAGAGTTAGCAGCAAAAATGGAAATATTTGCAAACCCCTTACGAACATTGAGTTGCGTCTAAATTAGAGAATTCAATGGTCAATGAAATTCCGATTAATGGTTTCACATTATTTATTCAATATTACGCAACTCGTTATTGTGTAAAATGATTCATCTATTCTCATCATAAAATAACTTCTATCTATTTTGACTAACCATGTAAAACCATCATTAAGGTGATTCAGTAACTTTCAAATGACAATTCGTCGTGTATATGGCAAATGAAGCGTGAACTGAAAAGCTCGGAAGCACTGGACAGCTGTTTCGACCTGGTTGGGTCTCATCAGCAGTGCGAATCCATCGACCCGACTGGGGATCGAACCCGGGACTTCATGGGCAGAACGCAAGCGTGCTACCCACTACGCCACCGGGCAGCTGATTCAGTAACTGTTTGTTTTCACTCAGTAAATTTTGTGCAACGGTACGAACCTCGGTATTAAATACCAAATTTGTGTAATACAATCTGAGAGAAAGAAATAGAGCAGATGCACCAACACCACCGTTTCCAGCACTCAACCGTATCACACACTGCCTTAAACCATGCATTTTGTTGATTCCGAAGTTCTCATTCAGGAAACCTATTTTGAATCTCAGCAGCTACCTAAGCACGAAACCTGACCATCTTTGTCACAATGCGCGCTTAACGGCTCCAGGTGATGCGCCACACACCAGCTTATCTATCCTGTTGATGTTCTATCCTTTACCGGACAGCACGTCGGCCATGTCTTCACTCCTGTTGCTGTTCGCTGTACTCGAAGGAATGTGCGGATTTGTGTTACCCATATGCAGTGCCTTCAGCAAACCTACCGGATCGTTGAAACGGTACTACTACGAGGTAGGTTGTTTTGCCACCCGTGAACGGTGCCGAACCAGACAGTATGCAGTTTAAAAGGTAATGTGAAGTGCATTAGATGTGTCATAGAGAGATGGGTGCCAGGCAAGTCATACCTTGCTTTAACAACCAATGATTTGGTCATCAATCGATACACAAGATGTGGTTTGTATTTGTTGATGATTGAACCGGATGTATAAAAGTTGTTTTTCGTTGATTTATTTCGATTTTTTTATTTTATATCATTTAATGAGATCTGATGTGAAAAATGGTTGATTGAGCTTTCATAACTACTCAAAAACCATTTCGTCCTTCCAAACCTACAACTCCCAAAATAGAATACTCGTGCGAAAGATACGTGAATGTCATACGCCTTGTCAGGTGTCCGCGAAATCTGAATTTTTTACAAGTTTTTCTCAAGCTGTCAGCTGTTGGTCTCAAGGCTCATATGTACGCTTACAGCTCGGAGGTAATAGCTTTGAGTTTCTGTGAGAACACTAACATAGTATGTGCTGCTGATTGATAGCTTTTGATAGCATTTGATTGGTTACTATACAACAATTTTTACAGCTAAGGAATTCCGGTCAACATTTAAGGGTTCAGTTGACTCCCGAGGGCTGAAACCCACACGAAAGGCAATCAACCAGAGTAAATAGTGATCAAGTTCTGTGAAATAAAGTGATGTGAGCAGACCATCCTATTCTAGCTGTGGTGGTTAGTCGTGGTGTGGTAGATGGTATTACTTTCTGTGAATACAGAATGATCCCAGTTACAATAGCACACTAAATTAGCTCCATCAAACTGCAAATCTAAGACCTCGTTTTCATTTGAATTGAAGTTACCCAAATTGACGTGATTTCTTTAATTTTCCTAGTTTTTTGAAACTTGGCCGACCAAACTTTTGGTTTGCTTGTTCTTTTTTGTGTGAGGCTATTCGAAATTGGGATTCCACTGCGACAATTTTAATCTTATCCGACCTCGCAAACGCGTCTCACCCAGAAACGACTTTTGTTTACCTTGATAAGTTATAATAATGTAATCATTCAAAGTTTTTAAACAATTTCTGGGGTGCTCTGTATACTCTTGAGCGTTATAAGGTATACTAACTTACAAATAGTTGGGTGATCTGGGGCAAACGTTAAATTCTCGTATAGCAATTCTTTGTTCAACGTTAGGATGTTGCCGATGGATTTACAATCGAGTGACTTTTGATGTTGGTATTGCTCACCAGATCTGGTTCAAATGATGTAGTCAATTTTTTGTTTTTCCTTATTGTGTTGACCTGATGAATTTGTTCTATTTTTGTCACGATGTTTCCACATGACACCGAATGAAACGAGGTTTGATCTGCTCACATTTTGATGAACGACCTCATCTGTCCGATTGGCGCCAAAATAATTCACACTCAAAAATGCTGAAAAAAGAAAAGAAACCGTTGGGTTTTAACTTAGTGCACCTCTTCACAGGTGATTTACAAGAGAAGTAAACGCACATGGAATTTAAATGTCATCTGAGCCCAAATTTGAAACAACGATGCTGAAACTCTCGAAGAATCGAGATTGAGAACTGATAATTGTTAACTGCTCAGTGTGTAATGAGCAAACGTGTCTAAATGTTGGGGTGGAAAACCCTTTTTTGACTCTGCCAATTCAGTCTTGGATTCCAAAATGATCCTCGGAGTTGAACGGCTTATTAACAGTGGCTTACATGACTATTATATATTGTCTATCTGAGTAGGCCACACTGCACCATACGGTAATCGAGCATCAGAGTTGCCCATTTTCTGGTGAGAACTGGTGCGTTCATCGACGGTGAAAAATAGAGGTTTTACTTTAGTAACCTGCCGATATTAAGCCCCAGTGATTTGCGCGTTCGACGAAAAACCACTCTAGCTTCGGTCCAAATGCAAGGGAATGCGGCAAATGAATCAGGTGGATGACTCGGGGTGAGGATGAAGCCAATGTGCACCGTGTGCGAATGCATTCCAGTTAGTTATACTGTGCAGTTGACGGACTTGGTAGACAGGGCTAGATGATGAACAGACTTTCAGTGTTGTCTAGGCCACACTACATCAATTTGGAGTATGACCCAAACAATCACTGCTAGCTGGTAATGATTATGCACTCACAAAAGAGCTTGGCTAGCTTTCATTGCAGTGCATGAAGTGTGTTACACAAATGACCAAGACCAAAACGATCAAACTGTGATCTGGCATGGAGTAAAATAAAACGTTTTGACTAGTAGAAAATTTCGTGCATTTCACGCTTTCGGTTCTCCTTTGGGGACCGCGAGATTCATTCAATCGATGTAAAAAGATACATGGTGTCTCATAGACATAGCCCTAAGGGTACATTCAGTTAACCCGGTATTGGTTTATGCTGTTCCTAATGTGATATTCCTTTCTTTCTCTCCTTCACTTATTGATCGATCAAATGAGCAGCCAAAAGAAGTGAGACAAAGCCAACGTAGGGAAGTGCGAGGTGGAACCCATCTAACGACTTCTCTTTTAAGTTGTCTGATTGACGAATGACACGTGGAGTTTATTTATTCACAACATAGGCGAGCTACTTGTTTGATCGTTTCGTTATTCATTTGTGTAGGGTGACAATGAAAGTTGCATGCGGTAGGTAACAAGGGTTCAGTTTTGGCGAGAAGTTAGTGTGAATCTGAATTGTCAGCGGCACAGGATTTATATCACAGATCCATAACATACGAATTTAGGAATGAATCGATACGCCTTCCGTGATCAGACAGGTTCGGTGTACAAATGAACGTTTACTATAACATCCGCAGAAAGTATCCCCCAAAGGGACACAAAGATCGTTTGTATACCGCCCTTTAACTCAGCAAAAAATGATAACATAGCCAGGTCCGAAATTATATTATGATTTATGGAGTATTTAAAGTTGAAAAACCTCGATTAACATCGATAATGATGTTCGGGATGTGAAACTGCCGGTCACTGGACTACGGTTTTAATGTACTCAAATCCTAGGATGATTTCACAAAATTCAGTGACTTCAATAAAGACGAAAATGTCTACTCATTTTTAAGATGAAATTTGAACGAGAATCAACAGTATTAACTGATTCAGTTAGTCGGTGAATTTTGTTGCGAAATGCCAGTCTTAACGTTGGGATGTTAGAACGCCTGTCCAATCTGGACAAAGACGGGGTTTCAGTCTCCAATGCACTGTTAGTGATCGTCACCTAGTCCATACAATGCAGTTCAGATAGTGATATAGTAACGAGAAGGCAAGTTGGCTGGCAAGACGTTTATTGGTTCAATTCAAAAACAACCGGTGTATGCGTTTAATTATATACACTCAATTCTTAACCACTCGGCAGGACAATTCATGCCTCATTCTGTTGGTCAATTCCTGTTGTTTTTGGTCTGCGCTTGGCACGTACGTTACCTCTTCCTCCGGGTGCCATTCCGACCGGTTTGACCCGATCGTAGGGCGGGATACATTGATCGACAGCTTCGACGTTGTGGCATTCGGTGAATATCTTTCTGGCTAGATGCAGATTATCCGTCGGGCTGTAATTGTTGATTCCTTCGTTTCGAGTGGTAGTCGACATTGTCTCTCGAAGTACTTCCAGCCGCTACGTCTGCGCATCTGGTTGGATGGGTCCTATTTTCGATTCGTTCGCTATCCGGGGCTCTCTTTTTACCATCTTCCATCACAGGATGTCCATATGTGCATCTCCATATTTGGCTCAGCTCCCAGACACTACTTGCAATATCACTTTCGAATGTCATAGGGACTTGCCTCTTAGAACGGCTTGTTTTTGCAGTTAGTTGATCCATTTATCTGTTACTCTCAAATATCATTTCCACTGTTCAGTTGTGTTGTAGTATTTGAAGCTAATTTGGGTCTAACCCTATTAGTTAGAATCACTGAAATGGGTGAGTACCCTCGCGCATGGTCGTGGGTCATATAATCAACAGAATTAGTTTACCCGACCAAGCAATCTGATTGACAACGACCAGCATGACCTAAATTACTCAGATATCGTGAATTTTCGTCCATTGTCTCGTCAAGATCACTTACTTCTTTTCATTCTCGGAATGAAAAGTTATCATGAATAAAGCATGACTAAACAATTTCGATGTGTTTCCATAACCACCTCTTCCCACCACGGTGTATTTTTCAGGCGAACTCAGCATTTTCGTTATTTCGGCACCAATAAACTTAAAGACTGATGCAAAATCACGGATGACAATACATAGATCTTATTACCATTGGTTACAGTGGCGCAACTAAACGAAACTTTCCACCCAGTAACCGATTTCTTATCACCAAAGCCTTTGGGTACCGCGGTGTAAAGGAAGGCTATTTTTCAACTATGGTTAATGGATAAACTGCAAATATGCTTTACAACGTATGCTTCCATTAGTCGTGAATGATAACACGTTATCATATGCAGTCAATCAATGCAACGCCTTAGATATAGTTCATTTACAGAAACTCGTTTCTAAATACACACCACTTTTTGATGACAAGTAAATTGGGAGCCCAAAGCTCAGTCATTCGAACAGTCCTTTCTTCTGTTGTGGTGTACCTTTGAATGCTTCATTAAAGTATGGTAGCGATCTTGTTTTGGAAAACCGTAAAGCTCTTCATGGTTAAAGTTGATCAGAGCTGATACGGTTTAAACCTTGGATCTAGCAGCTTGGATATTTGTCTACAGAAACTCTTTGGTACACGGATACTAATCGACGAGGAGAGTGTTTAATGTTAGATTTCTAATGCATGTGGTAGTAAATCCACATGTCCCGTTTCCCCTTTTTGTCAGTGTTGTGACGGTGGTCTCTTTATGGGCTGCAAGCTTGGCTATAACTCGCTATCGCTTCAATACAAAAAATAAAATAAAATACGAAGCTCAAACCCCTAGACTGTGACTGTCAGTTAATAAAATCTCAGAAACTCGATACCTATGGTAATGGCTTTGTACACGCCTTATTTGTTACATTAAGGGAATGATGTTGTTTGCTCAGCACTGAATACCCACGGAAGCAATATGAATAATCCCATCACCTAAGAAACAATAAAACATTTCTTAGTTAATCACCGGAGATCCACTATTCTCGCCTATTCACGTATCCACACATAAATGTTCAACTTCATTTGTATGGTATAAACAAGTATAAAACTAGTTTTCAGGGAAGCAAAATGTGTGGAGTCACATCAGTCCAGATGATGATTGTGACTTCAAGGAAACGTCTACCGGTTGAATTTTTCCAGAATATCTCCATTCGGTCATCAGAAAGCTAATTTGTATACGAACGTGGTTGTTCTCTTAACTTAGTCAATTACAGTTACATGCACGTTCATATACCACGAAGTTTGGAATTTCAGGTGTTTAGTGCATTTGAATTAGATTTCTTGGAGTAATTCATAAGCCCATGAAAATAAAAACGGAGTCGGGGTGGGGTAAATGTGGTTCAAGAATCACAAATTTGGGGTCTTCCGTATGACAATATTGAGCGCAATATAGGACGTCATCAACAAGCGACAGATAGTAACCAGGTCAGTTAAAGTCCCTTAAAAGGTTTCCTCTACATACAAGGATGGCTTCAATAGTGTGATCACTACTGCTTACATAACATTGCTA